GCGATACGCTACAGAACTAGCAACGAAAAGCAGCCTGCAGAATCAGCGGTTTCTCACATTCCTGGCCCCTGAATGGTGGCGATACCAAATTTGCAACAGACACGAGCACAGAATAACAGCCTGCAGCAGTAAAACATGATTTCAATTATTGAGGCATTTGCGCATTTGCGTTTCTGTCTATTGCAGGATTGGTATTGTATCACCGCCGTTCAAGGGCCAGCAACGTGAACAACTTCTTACAAACGGCATACTGCCGTACTGTGTCGAGTCACAAAGCAGTGATCATTGCGTTACATAACGTTTTGTGCTGTATCCCAGGACAGAGTTGCAGTTATTGGGAGCCAGGATGGGTGGGCTACGTTTATTAACCAAGAGCTGGTATACCGAAGCGTGGAATCTGAACAGCGCAGCCTGGTTAGGGTTTGTTCTGCCATCACAATTAAGCCGAAGGGATACAACCTACTTCAGGAAGTAGCCCTGGAATGCCTTTCGTATTTTAGCTAACAGTAACCAGAAGCCCTTGCTGGGATTGAAATGATATCACAATGCATCTCCGCATCTCCCAGCAACTGCCATTTGACAATGGTGCCCTCTTACTGACATCATATTGTCTTTCTCCCTCATAACAATGTTTGAAGACACAAGCCACCGCCACCGGCAGCCTGAAGACCGGTTTCGTTGTGCCTCATTGCGGGCGATAACACTGCAGCCACATATTGTGCCTTGTCCTTAGGCCAACGGTTTTCTTTTAAATGGTAGAGATGCTTTTCTGTTGCGAAATGTGGTGTTTAGCGTCAGTTGGGCAAGGGACCAACAAGGGCAGCTACGGCAGCTCTCCCAACCACCTCAGCGCCCAAAAATCGATTTCCACTAGGCGCTGGAAAAGACGTAAGGAGGCCGCCTTATTCCTTGTGACAGTGCTGAAGTTTCCTGGAATGCAGCCATACCATCGTCGAAATTCCGCCTCAACCCAACGAAGAGGCCACAGGGCAGTGCTCTAAGGCAGTTTCTCTCAGCAAGCATTGGCACTGGACAGAAGACTTTTGCTCTGCGTAAGCACCGTTCTAGCTCCCCGCAGAATCTGTTCCCACCCACTATAATCGCGTGTGTTCCCCACCCAACTCAAGAAGTCCGCTGATATCGTAAACACAATTTTCCTGTGGGTGTATAAGGAGGATAATTGAGCAGTTGTTTCGCAGTGCCTCCCTTGCCTTTCCAGACAATGAATGCAAATGTTCAGCAACGAAACTGGAGATGACAGCAATAGTTTGACCGCCAACGGCATTCAAGGCCGAATGATTGTTGCAGGCGTGGACTACACCACCCTTATGCGCCTTTTCTGTTTGCCAGGGAGTCGGGATTTCCTCCTCCAGGGATTTTTGTCATCTACATAGTACCTTCCGGCCCAGGTGTAGAAAAGTGTCCATTGCCCTTGTATATCCTCACTCCTCAAGATGAGAATGCCCACGGTAGTCCTACGCCAGTTGCCGCAACATTCCGATGGTAGACTTTCCCCTTGATCTCCCACAGCCACGCGTTTTCAGCAGTTCCATCAGTACGTTTCACCAACAGCAGCGTGCTGAGCACCGCGATGCACTCTTTCCAACGGTGGCAAGCTAGTCTCATAGGGACCCACTTTTTTTGTCGGATGCTCCGTTCGCTCCATTGTACATTTTATGGCCGGCCACCACACGCGGTTTACGGAAATAGCAGCCATGGCGATTGCACCCCTTGCTTCAGTGGCTCAAGCCTTTCTCGGGTAGTGGATATGTCGCTGGAGCACGGCCCGCCAAACTATTCAGGCAGCTATGCCGTTCGCAAAACCTACCCTCTTGCGTGCTGCGTGCAGCGTAATTCTATAGCCGACACCAGCACGCGCCTTTTCCGTCCTACGGTATGGTCGTGTGTCACAACCTTTAGCATGACTGACATGTTTTTCTTTTGTCGAAAGCACTCGACCAGAGCTCCAACGCACACTCTCTGATCAGGCAAGACACTTATTTCCATTTTTCGGGATAAGACGTCATCTCCACATTCACTTGATGTTGACGCCTCATGCCCGCAAACAGGTGCCAGTTACGAATACTGTGGCAGCACTGTTTGGCGATTAACAAGGCTCGTCAGCAAATCTCTTCACCGAAAACCCATGCCTTCGCGGGGTCTCCTCTAACAGTTACGTTTTGCATGCACCTCGCAGTCCGTTTCATCAGGTATGAGGCTTTTGGCTTTTAAGCCGATCACTTGCCTAAAACCCCGAGTGTAACGTGTCCAAGATGCTGCGCGATTACTGCAGACACATTCGCGTTGCTTCCCTTGCCTTGGGGAACATTTCCTTAGTGGCCCTGTCAACTCAGGTGCGTTTTGCTAGCTCCGCGGGCAGTTCCGTCTGTTTCCTGTCGGCCATCGGTGCCCGCATGTTTGTCGGTTAATAGCAACTTGCTTACTGAGACGCTGGAACTCCTTGTTGCTTCTATAGCGAGTGGGGTAGTGGGCATATGGTACGTATGCAGTCGTTACGGTGTGCTTAACGCGCCCGTCAGGGGAGCGTGGAAGCATTACTCGTGCTCCAAAAGTGTCTTATTTTCTTATTTCAAAATTCCTTTCATCGGTTATAAGAGAACAACCGAACTTGAGGCACAATTGGCCACATTCAGCGCAGTCCCCAGCATTTACAGAAGAATCGTACTGTGCTCTTTCAAGCAAGAAACGAGTAATTCTCTCGATGGCACTGCCAATACAACCTGCTCATACGGGACTGCAGCCTTTAGCCCGCAGGCCATTCTGCACGGTTTTAGTACATAGAGTTATAAGCGAACCAGTGGACTCAGTAAGCCACTGAAGCCTCTGTCCTTTGGGGCCGTTCTACGTTCCGCCACTGCGAGCTGCCCTGAAGAGCCTCCCCTTCAGAATATTATTAAAAGCTCCATATTGCTCCCCTTACCAACAAATGCAGAACGGGTGATAATTTAGGAACTTCTGGGTAGCTTATTAGCGGGAAAGCGGCTCAGGTCTACGATATTGCCGAGTCCCAGAAACGGAGAGGCGACAGCTTTCGACGAAGCCTACCACTGAAAGAAAATAGCGACTCCGCTGCAAACCCGTAGCATCGGTACTCGCCGCATTCGTACACCGGCAGCCTGTTTCGCTGATCCTTTGAGCAGGTTTAGTGCCTAGAACAAGAAGCTCTTAGTATACACACCAACAGCTCGCAGCTCGAAAACTTTTAGCTTCTTTCTATGTAACATAGTTAGGAGCTAGGCGGCGCAACGTTTCCAAGGCCTAAACGCATGCAGCAAAGCAAAACAACTGCGCGATACTGAGCTGACTTGATAGAATCAAATGCAGATCTAGCGACGAGAGTTTTATAGTTTCTGTGGTAATATTCATTTGCCGATATCGTTCAGTGTTCCAGAACATCCACCCTGCTAGGTTTAGTGCACTTCCATGCACATCGGCTTTCGTACTAGTTTTATTTGGAGCCGTAAACAAGCTCTCATAGATTCCCACAAATCACTGCTTACTGCTGGCTATAATGCTTTGTCTGATGGGTTAGTGCAGAGCCACAAAAGCTTCTGCTTGAGTTCTGCACAGTGCAATGATGCGCGATAGCTGTTCTAGCTGTTCTCGGACGTACCCCTTATATATTTAAGCGCACCCAGCCTATAAGTAGAGTGTATTGTGGAGTATCTGCAGCATTGTGTGTGTTATTAGACCCTGCAGGTTCTGTGGCACGGCGTGGGTCGGGCGCTGTCACAGGACCTGTAGCGGGCAGTTTCTCTCTCCACGCCACGGGGCCACGCGCTGCTGACAAAGCACATTTCTATCTGGAGAACTATTGGAACTTTTTATTTCGTAACATCCCTTGGCTTGTTGTGCTGTAGAAGCAAGTCGCGCGTAAGAGCGTTCAACTTAGGATTGTGGCTAAGGCAGCAGCTCATTCGGATTCTCCGTAGCAGTCATGCCTGATTTGGTTCAACACATCCCACTTAGTAACAAACTCGCAACTCAACCCCATGATATGATCATGAAATTTACATGATCGGCACGTTATTGTTGATATTTCCCTGGCGAGGTTCCGCCCGTCCCAGATTCTAGTTTGGGGCTGTGTGCGCATGCGTTGGAAACAGAGACACCTGCTAGGAAAGCGCAAGCTCTTTACGCATACAAACTGCACACTTAAAATGAATACGAGCAAACATAAATCTTCTTTTTGACTAGGTTGCGCCGGTAAGCACGTAGTGTACTCGCGGCATCGAGCTGTGCTGGTTTGCCGGTGTTACTTGAACCGAGTAAAGGCCCACGCCCCACATTCGGCATTGCTGCAGCTCTCACGTCGCATTTATTGGTTATCGGGAAAAGTTACGCCAAGGACTGTAGCCTTGATAGTGATTACATCATGCAGTTGAGGAAATATCACAAGAGTGATATTCGAAAGACAGTTTCCGCCGAAGGCTCTTTACCGTATATTCATATAGCTGACCATATCTGTGACGCATGCACTTTTCATTTGTAAGTGAGAAAGTCGCAAACTACCATCGATCCATACAGCAACGGAGTGCCAATGGCGCTTTGCACCTGCCTTTTAATTTTGATAGGCCTTCCAATCAACTGTGCTCCACTTTTTCTCCTGTCTCTCGCATCTCAAGATGTTTCAACAAGTGTGGAAGGCATGCTCTTGCCCCAGCACCACTTCACAAGAAGCAATCATTCTGCAGAGGGAGTTGAAAAGGCAAGCAGTTGCGCAGACAGCGCCACTGTTAAAATGTCTAGGACGCGTCAGTTAGAGAACGAAAAAGAAAAGGAGCCACGAAGAAGGCAGAAGGGGTGGGTTAGTAGGCCTCACAAGACTTTGTTGTAAACAGCCAGAACAGTAGTGGGCCTCGAAACTGGAGAGGTTCCGCAGAGGCATGTGGCCGTGGCTTAATATGCGAATTGCTTTCCCTTCGCTGCGAGTCAAATGACAAAGACAGTTTCCATTGTTCTCTGTTGGCAGTCCTAAAATGTTGGAAAAGATAGCGTCTGCTTCATCCGAAGGCTCCTCGCAAGTAAATATGGGACAGTCCTGTGATGACAAGGCTAGCAGGATCAGCGCAGAGACTCAACGGAGAGCCAAAGCTCTACAGATCCTTTTCAAAAGGATTGCCGAAGACAGGAAAATTGGCCGTGCAACCGAGACAGTTTGCAACAGAGATTCCACAGGAAAGCAAGATGCTACAGAGTCCAACAATGTCCATGCAACAAACCCAGAGTTTTCTGCACAAGCCGCCAGCAAACGAACAAAGGGGCGCAGAAACAGTGCAGCGGCACCATCAAATGGACACTTAATCAGAAGTAATTCGCACAGGCTTGAGTCAAAGACAGAAAGATTTGTGACGCCAGTTAACTGCGATCCAGAGATACCTCCTGTCGAACTGCAATCGGCACAAGTTCAGTCGGATGCCAATAATTTGGCTGTTAACCCCTCACGAAACCAAAGCGCCGATGAAGACCCGCCGCCTGACCCCGTGACCAAGCGGCTTCTGGCTCGGATGTCTGCAGCGGTGACTGTTGAGGAGCGCCCAATTGATTTTGGGCATGACCTGCTTCTATCACCTGAAGAAAAAGAATACATGGACCGTTTTGTCTTTGTAGAGCTTTCTAAAATTCCAGTAATGCCCTATACTGCCCCTGCAGTAGAGGGACTTTTGTTTGCTGAGACATTCGATAGAGAAGACGTGTTCGATACGTGGATTGTTTCCAGAAGTTCCACCCACTCTGGTAACCATAATGTCCTTTCAAACCAAGAAAAAATGACCGAACGCTTTAGCTTTGGACGCGTGTAAACTCATGCTTTAGTGGATTCTGGTTGGGGATTGTAGATGGGCATTCATCCCACTGAGGCTTCTTTGCGGCCTCAGTTTTGATTTAATATGGGGACGTTGGGCAGCCATCAAATGCACATATCTGAGATGCCTTGAGCAAAGGGTGTGCTTTGGAGACTCCTGTAGGACAATGGAATCAGGAGTTGAGACATCCGCATGTAATTGAAGGGGACCGCGGACTAATGACTGCCTCCAAGGTGAGCTGCGGGCAAAGTTTCTCAGCGAAAGCCGCTCCTTTTGTGCGTTTTGACACCCACGTGCTCGTATCCAGTTTCCTCTATGCTCTGTATAGGAAATCCCTATAAACGAGCTCATGGCTTGAGGCTCGTCATGTACCCACTGCTATATGCGCGCGATATTCAGGGTCTTCGACACGCTATTAGCACTTTGTTACCCAGATATGCGATGCTTTCTCCTGAAGATCCTCTAGTGCTGCAATACGAGTTGCAGCATCAGCAGCCAGATTTCACTTGTGGAGGCGGTTACATGACCTTTTTCCAATCCGACGCACAGTCACAGCAACAATTCGACGGGAAAACTCCATACTCCTTGCGGTTTGGAGCCGACCAGTGTGGGAGGCGTCGAGAAATCATATTTACGGTCAATAGGAAATGTCGAATAACTGAAAAAAGGTATTTCTATCTCCCGTGTCAAGCACAATCCAGCGACTTCCTTTCACGAGAGCCCTGTTACAGCAGAGGCTATACTGCTCAATTGGGCTATCCTTTGAATGCTCAGCGTTACGCATACGCTCTTTCCTCGGCTAGCGCTGCCCTTCAGTGACCGCACGCGTCTTTTAACGCTAATCCTGAAACCAGATGGGACATTCAAGATACTGCTGGATGGAAGAACTATTCGCAGGGTGATCTTTTGTTCCCACCGACCAACGCCACTAGTGGCTCTCAATCGTGACGTCTACGTTGGTCAGCACAAACTCACATCAGGTCCTTGCACTTTGCGTGTTGTCATCCGCTACCAGGGGACAATCTTTGCTGACTTGAGACCGCCGTGGCCACACACAGGCCAAACGATTCAGGTAAATTAGAATGCGTGTGACCCTCGATCTGCTTCGCAAGCTTTCTAGATAAAGGCTTTCATGACTCGCTCTTGTCGCTGCAGGCCTACTTATCAAACCTGTATTTGCCTGTAGCTGAAGTAAGTAAAACGCATACGATTTTTATCTGTACGCTAACCTTCGCGTGGTTCTGACTTCAGGAGCTGTCCAAAGAATTTCCAAGCTTCAACGCAGTAGGCCTAGTATTCATGGCGATGGATAGTGGGACTCTTGTAGACAACATTGTAGTGGGCAACAACGTCCAAGCTGCTCAGAAATTTGCAAGAGCAACGTTCTGGGTGAGTCCCGTATGCTGTAACTGTGAGATGCTGAGGCCTTAGTAAGGTCAGAAAGCAAAGCAGCACATTGACATGCTCAACTCTGCCGCCTTAAGTATCATTAAGGTGTCAGCTACCTGTTGGCGTATGCACCGCATCTATTCCATTGACTAATAACAATACTATTTGACAAAAGTTGTTTGAAGAGGCATCTACACAGTGCAAAACAAAGGAAGGTGTAAAAGAGGACCTTTAAGTCCACAAAAGAGCAAGACACTGCCAGAAAACGCCTGGCAAGTCTAAATATTACATCTGTGATGAATGCAACAGTACGACTGATTCGGCAGCTTGAATACCAAGCCAGCTACCTTCTGTGTATGCAGAAACGAATGGAAGTGGAAGACAAGGTTGCCGAAATTGCATTCAGGACGCGGAGCGCTGCTCGACAGGAGATCCGTTCGCTGCGGCGCGAATCTGAAGCACTTCAGGCCATCTCAAACTCTCATCACGCGAATTACGGCAGAACGCAGCTTCGAGTGAAGACTGAACAACTCTTGCAGCAGGCAAACAGCTTTTCCGCACTTGTACATAGAACCAAAGATTTTACTGAATGGACATCATTCAATCCCAGGGACCACCAAATGGGTAATTGTCGTATGGTTGGAGCATTGAGAGAAACGGAACAAACAAAAGCTCTATTAAGTGACGATGAAGCAGATGAAAACAACCTGAGTGGTGGAATTTTTCTCGCAAGCACTGTGATTTCAGGGTGAGAAAGTCAAGCTGAGGACCACAGGGCATAGAACTTGGCAGCGTGCTAGCACCAAATTGGCTTGAATAGATGCCTCACGACAGTCCAGTTCACACCAGCGCGTGTAGAGGAGTACTACAACTGTACTTCTTCTAATAGTGCTTTTATCACCCGCACTGCTGCGTTCGCGTAGGATTGGATTACTGTGGGCATGCAGACGGGCCTTTCCGTCTCAATAAAGGTATAAGGGCTGCGCGTCTGCTGGCTTTGCCGACTATGGCCTGCTAGGCATTAAACAATTTTCTCCCCGTACTTGAGTGTCGATTAGCATTCCTTTAGAGTTAACCCCAGCAAGTGCAACTAGCTTTGAGTTATTTACTGTCCAGAGAAATAAGCAGCTGAAACAATCTTGCTGCAAAATGAGCATCTAGTCGGCATCAAAGATCCTGCGTCTGAATGTTGTGGACAGGGAGATTCGGCGCGCTTCGTTGCTTCTTCTTTATTTTTGGCGAACATGAAATCAATTACGTTTTGACCAGCATTTTGGTCATGAAAATGGACGACTCTGATGGGTAGGATCCATGTGCGAAACCCAACTAACCTCTTGAACGACTCAGTCAGCAGAAGATTATTCAGCACAGTTAGCATGTGAATCATTACTGCAGTCGCGCGCAGAATCTGCCCACTTACATCCTAATGCTCAGCCTTCAGTGGGCGTCTTCTTATTATAGCGTAAACTTGAGGAATGCAGCTCAAGAGAGTCTTTAGTGCTGGTAGAAGCGACAAGGCTTTGCATAATCTCTTCTGCCTGCGTGCTGTGCTCCAAATAAATTCGTTAGTGGAAACCTTTGGGACAACGACTTTCAAAATTTAGGTATTGGCCTTGTATTTTGACTCAAGGCAGTTTTGGATAGCAGATGTGGTATGAAGCACCGCAACGTAGCCCAGAAATGCCATTCAGGACCATGCAGTTTAAAATATTGCCAGGAAGAGTTTATGTGATTACTATACGACGGAACTCAGTATTCTGACAAGCAGGCCTGGTGTGCTCAGCTATTGGGCCCAGCGCTTAGGACTGGCAAGAAATGGTGAAGCTGCATTGTGTAGCAAACTCACGCAGCGAGGAAGGCACATAAGGGAGATATAGATGTATCCGTTTCATTTTGTAAGTAGAACAATAACAATTGGACTTTGTCGATGTTCAAACGTTATCTTTAGGAAGTACACATGTGTACGAACCCATGTAGCCATGACGGAGGGGGCCATGCTGATCTTACGCCACTATGATGGACAGAAACATGAGCCATTAGTGGGCCAACTTGGAAGACGCACCTCCAAAATCGTAAAGAATGTAACGTCGTTGCGGCTAGTTTTTCATTCCTGGCATTTTTCTGTGGTTTGCTCAAGACGAGGAGCCGTCTTACTCTGCGGCCGCGAGAGTGTAACGGTCCCTTACATCCCACTCTTCCTAGACTAGATTCTTTACTCTATTTCGTTGCCCTTTAGCGGCGAACGTGGTTTAGAAGCATCTGATAAAATGTCTCCCGGATCAAAGATGCAAAGCAAACAGAAAGAAACTAAGTGTCTGCACTGTTGGACTACATAGATAAACACTCTTTCGCCTTCCTTACAGTGACCATACCGGCAACGGTCCTCACCTATGCCACACCACGATAGCGGACCCATAATCTCTGTACCCGGTCTTCTACGCCTCTTTGTAGCCCAAAATCAGCAGGAAATCAGCCCTAAAGTTTTCCCCGTGCCTCATTAATCATGGAAGCACGCAATTTAGGAACTCCTCACGGCAGAGTTTGTCATACAAATAAAAAACGTTTCCATGTGTGTGCAGATGCGCTAAGCAGCCCCGAATACCAGCACCATGCAAAATTGTGGACGAATCCTCCCCAGGTTAGCTGTGGCCCCGGTCAAGTGACCATGAGAAATTGGTTGCTCCCGCTTATCCTAGAGCAATTCCTCTCTGTTGTTCGCTCCACGCTAGCAAATTTTTCTGTCTCCCCTCTCACAGCATCAGTCTGTATTTTCCTATCTTTTTTCAGAATAAGAACACAACGCTATGGGCCTACCGAAACCCCCTCGCAGCAACGCAACACTCCTATTCAAGATGCACAGCGCGCTTGCCGCTGCCCTGCGCTATGGGGAGTTCCTCATTATCGGTGAGAACAGGACCCTTGACACTGTCGCAGCAGGTGAAGGATGAATGCTGTCTCCATCGAGCTAGTTCGGTTAATAAAACATCAACCTTAACACACAATGAGGCCGCCTCGTATCCGACACCGCGCACTTCCTTCCTGACCCAGATGGGGGACGCTGCTGCTCTGAAGCCTAAAGTTTAGACACAAATGAAACATTATTTGAAAATATTAGAGTTTAGATTGCTCTACTATGGGGGAAGGAAGAAGAGTAGTATGAAGCAACAGAGCGGGCAATTCATCTAAGGGCCGAGCCGTCCAGGCTAAGCGAGCAGCGACGGCAGATATTCAACGTCTATCCAGCAGTGGTGGTGCTACGCACTCCCGTGATAAACAAAGCTCATTTTCTGCCACATGGTCTCGTTTAGCCGCTGAAACCGTGCACGAGGAGGTGCAAGAGCTGCTGAAAGACTTTGCACGCTGCCTGACTGAATTGCAAGCTATTTTAAAGGTGATCTCGCGTGCTTGCAAGGTCCACGCATGTGACATACAGGCAAATAATATCAACTTTCAAGTGTTCGTGTAAGACGTATTCTTCGTTTCGTCCTGCTCTTGTGCTTATGCGCCCTTTAGATTATAAATGCCCGCTATTTGTGAACGACATGGAAGGCCGCCACAAATTCCAGCCCTCAGTATTCGTTGCAGTCATTTACTCTGTGTTCGCAAGCCCTTACACGCTAATTTTCCCTAACATTTTAGCCGGAGAGACACATATTGTCTTTAGACAGAGTTAGGGGCAGATGACAGCTCTTGATAATCCCTCTGCAACGTTTGTAGATTAAGCAAATCCATCCTTCCAAAGGTGGGAGCACTGCAATGCGGCTTTAAGTCGCTAAAACGTTCATTAGTAAGTGCCAGTTTTCACCGCACTCTCAAGCTTCCGTGCATGTATAAATGTATTTTCAATGAGGTTGTTTCTAAACCCAGGGTATGTCATAAACACAGCAGCAGCTGCTTTAAAGTTTCGGAGCGGCTACCATGTTTACGAACTGCTAATCATCAGCTGCATAATGCGGGACAGTGTATGGGACCCAATGAAAATGCGCTGTATTGAGCACAGCTGGTATTGGAAATGTGCTTGTTGCCTAAAATTGACCACAGCATATCCCACCCTAAAGCCGCAAACCCTAAAACCCTACAGCGTAAATCTAAACCCTAGACCCCAAACCCTAAACCCTAAAATCCTGAACCCAATATGCAATTTTCGTGGACCGTTTGCTATTTACTGTGCTGTTTAGTGTGCCATGATATTTAGTAGACAAGGTACAGCTTTCTTTTACAAAATGTTGTGGGCTACTCCAAAGGGCACAGCTTCTCACCACTCCTTTGAAAGCACGAGCGTGGTTCAAGATTTTGTAAGGAATCTACAGGCTTGACATAAGGCGTTCAGTGGAACTCTTGCTGTTAGATCCACCCTTCTTTGAAGCAAATGCACTTTCACATAACACAGTAGCAAACTCGTGAGCTTAAGGGTAAGAGGTCATGAAGAAGTGGCTACAAAGAAAAGCTTATATGCAAAGTCAGCCTTGGTTCCCTACTGTTTTACCTTCTTCATGAACTGAAGCTCAGCGTCGCTTCCCTGGCGTCTTAGGCCTCGCCTTACGGTCTGCACGCTTTTCTCTTGTGAATCTGCTTGTTTTTTTCTACTGGATTAAAATTGGATTAAAATTTTGTGCAAAATACCCTCTCAGTGACGGAACTCACCAGAAAATGCATTACCACGCCGATTGTCGCCAATCCAGCCTACCTATCACTTAATTTATTGTGATAGAGTTGCTCCAATGAATGAAGTGCTTCTACTGTTCGTAGAATTCAGATGCAACAAGTGACGTAAGGACTGGTAAGCACTCAACCGCACTGCGAAGAACTGTACGCTCGAGAGGGCAGAAAGCAAAGCAACCAATGGAAGGGCAATAAGAATCCGTAGGATATTACAAAAGAAAGTTATATTTGTACTGCAGTTCTTGAGTAGCAACTAGCCGCTCGATATTCCACTGAGCGGCCTGTCAGTCACTTGGGGCGAATCAGCAAATTGCAATATCTTCCTTATAACTTGCCTTGCACATTTTCTGGAGAATAATCGCTTTAGCGGGACTAACGAAAGATTTTTCTGCAAATTTCTGACAAAATAACCGTCACTAATCCTTACTACCCTCTGCTTGCCAAGCTTTTTGTATTCTACAAAAAGGCACCATAAATCAAAATACCACAGAAATACTGCCTGGCATGTTTTCTAGCTCAGACTGTCCGAATCAAAATCACAGCATAAACCTGATCATATGGAAATTAATTTCTCTGCTTGTTTGACTTAGTCGATTTTTTCGGTGCCTTTTGCTTGGGCAGACCACTGCTGTCTGCGCCGTGAACTTGTGAATTATCAACTTCAGTTTGTTGCTTCTCCTGGTAAAATTTTCATACCGCGGAGGCATGCCGACAAGTGAATTTTGGAAGTCAAAAACTAAGAGAGCATTCAACTGAATCAAGGAGCAGTGTGGTCAATTGTACGGAAGCCCGTCGAGTACGACTGCGCAGCTTAGCAAAAGTCCATGGTGAAGGTAACACGCTAAAGATTTTTGGTCGGTGTCATGGTCTAAGTACGAAAAAGTACCTGTCTTGGTCTGTTGAGAGGATAAAGTAGTGCTGTCCGAACAAAACTGGCTAGTATCTTGAAAGCCTCATGCCTACAGCAGAAGAAAATCTGTTGCATTAAAAAGTTGAGTTTCCCACCCAGAGGTTGTTCACCGCAGAGTAACGCCTTTGATGGCCATTACAGAAGTCGCCTCTGCAACCACTTGCACTTGAATGGGGCTTC